ATAATATAACATATTATCCTGGACTAGTACAAGCCCATACATGTATGATCTCTCACGTTGTTATACTATAACATATTATCCTGGACTAGTACAAGCCCATATATGTACGATCTCTCACGTTGTTATAATATAACATATTATCCTGGACTAGTACAAGCCCATACATGTAATGCGATCTCTCACGTTGTTATACTATAACATATTATCCTGGACTAGTACAAGCCCATACATGTACGATCTCTCATGTTGTTATAATATAACATATTATCCTTGACTAGTACAAGCCCATACATGTACGATCTCTCACGTTGTTATAATATAACATATTATCCTGGACTAGTACAAGCCCATACATGTACGATCTCTCACGTTGTTATAATATAACATATTATCCTGGACTAGTACAAGCCCATACATGTATGATCTCTCGTTGTTGTTATAATATAACATATTATCCTGGACTAGTACAAGCCCATACATGTACGATCTCTCATGTTGTTATAATATAACATATTATCCTGGACTAGTACAAGCCCATACATGTACGATCTCTCACGTTGTTATAATATAACATATTATCCTTGACTAGTACAAGCCCATACATGTATGATCTCTCACGTTGTTATAATAAAACATATTATCCTGGACTAGTACAAGCCCATACATGTATGATCTCTCACGTTGTTATAATATAACATATTATCCTGGACTAGTACAAGCCCATACATGTACGATCTCTCACGTTGTTATAATATAACATATTATCCTGGACTAGTACAAGCCCATACATGTACGATCTCTCACGTTGTTATAATATAACATATTATCCTGGACTAGTACAAGCCCATACATGTACGATCTCTCATGTTGTTATAATATAACATATTATCCTGGACTAGTACAAGCCCATACATGTACGATCTCTCATGTTGTTATAATATAACATATTATCAGTGCAATAAACTTCATTTCACCTCATCTCACCTCACACAGCTGCCACTAAAACCAAACTTCTGCGTTACAACAAACAATTTACATTCAAGATTCCAAAGGGGTAAGTAGAAATTACTGAAATTAGTAGGTTTTCCAATATATTCCAAGTCTTGTGAAGTATACAAGTTAATTTCCTACCCTTTACCTTCATACAAAAAAACTATGAAGACTTTGATTCCTGCTACAGTAAAGCCTCACTGTCCTGTCACAAGCGACAGTGAAACCTTTTTTATGTATTTTCCTCTTAGGACGGTAACCGGTTTGTCAAACCAGTGCCGATACCTGGTTTTGGTGTGAGCACAATTCCACGTCCATCACTACCAAGTCCAATGGTCACAAGTCCATAATGTACCATCAACCATACATGTATGTCAGAAATGTTAACTGTGACTTGTACCACGAATAAAGGTGATGAATTCAAGAGGATTTCGGGTTCGCTATTCAGCATATTCGCCCCTTGTCTGATTCACCACAAGTACTGTAACTACTGCCACTTGTCCCTAGGAGGTGTCAAAAGGAGGTGTTAAACGATACCTAGGCAGGTACGTCTTAGATAAACATCGTCATTGGCACTGACATTGACCGGAAAGGCCAGTTAACCTGGTAATAAAGAGACTAAATTTACATATTAGTCTGTCTCAAAGACCCTAAACCATATTATTATCCCTTCCACCCAACCCGGGGTGGTGGGTAGCCTAGTGGTTAAAGTGTTTGCTCGTTACACCAAAGACCGGGTTAGATTCCTCACATGGGTATAATGTGTGAAGCCCATTTGTGGTATTGCTGGAATATTGCAAAAAGCAGCATAAAACTAAACTCACCAACTCACTCCACCCAATCCTTAATGGAAATGCAGAGGCCTTAAATCAAGCAAATCTTGAATTTCTACAGGTATGAATCTCCAATCTCAATAGGGGGTATTTTTCTATATAATACCATCCAAAAAAAGTAGGGGATATTCCATTTTGCGAGCATACCACTAGCCACTGCCAATGCATATGAGAAAAAGCAATATATATCCATACAGATGAAACATTCCCAAAGGAATGGAATAAATTGTCACATTTTCCCTTAATTTCTCTTCATCATCTGTTTCCTCCTTGGCTTCATCATTTGCATTTTATCAATCTTGTAAATCCAATATCCCTACTTTTTTTGAACGGTATATTTAGTTTCTTGTTTCTGACATAAATTATACGTTTTCAAGCAGTCTAGGTTTTAATTAAATGCATGAAAAACTATGGACAGGGTTTTAGAATTAAGTATGAAAATCAAGGGACATTCTCATAACCCTAATTAATAAAGATAAGACTTTGCCAGTATCCAGTTTCAAATACTATAGCAGCAAGTCTCAAATAATCAAGGAACCCCCACAAGTTGGAATACTGCTTAACAGTAGGTTGTCTATGGCATGCATGAGATACCTGTCAAGAAGCGATGCCCTCTATTTACTTGACCCATGACATCAATATTGAGGCAGAGACGGTCCCACAATAACAGAAGTTAGGTGTAAGAGGGCCACGCAGTATTTTTATATGTTTATCTCTTTAACGCCTTTCATGTATGATTTGAATGAAAAGATTCTACTGGATGCATAAAAGCAAAACAATCGTATCTGGTTAAGCAAAAGACGACAAAAACATTTGGCATGGAATCCACATCTGGGCATGTGTTGTCAGTCATGAGCAATTAGCTTCGACCATAACTTCCTTGTATTCGCCAGGGTTCTCTTTCCCAGAAACCATTTTTGGAGAAACAGAAAACGTGACTGGAGCTAAATGATGGACAGCAAATAAATAAAGAACAAACAAAAACACTTCCCCCAAACACACATGCTTCTGAAGATAGCACAGGACAGAGCCATGGATTGTTTCTTGAGAATACATGTGCAATTAATATCACACATTCAGACACAAACGGGAAAAGATTGACATTTTACATCTAGAATGACTGACTGAGTTTGGTTTTACCGCTTTCACAATATTCCAGCAACATCAGCTACTTCACACATTGTACCCATGTTGTAACCCGGTCTTCGTGTTACTGTATAGGCTACCCCCACCGCCTCTTTAGAAACAGGACTGGGCCCTGTTTCACAAAGCTATCGTAGCTACGACTGTTGTAAGTCTACGTTACTGTATAGGAGTTACGACAGTCGTAGCTATGATAGCTTTGTGAAACGTGGCCCTGGACAAGCAAAGAGCTGATAGACAATAGCAGGTTTAGAAATTAAAGTTTGGTTTCATTTCACCATAAAGTTTCATTGGTTTAAAAAGTATGCATGAAATACATTTGTGATGTAAGCCCCATGTATGTGACCCAAACATGCAACAAATGGAAAATGTCTGTATCAAGAAACCATATCGAGCTGTCACTCTCAGTACGGATACTTCCTGGATTGTAAAACTACACCATGTTAATAATCATACTTTATCTATTCGAATAATTGTGTAATAATCACTCTAATGTTGGTAGAACAGTACTGATCACTAATTTGTCATATTCCTGTCTGAACAATTACATGTCAAATAAAAATACTTTGAGTAATAGTAAGAAATTTCTGCTAAGATCAGAGTTCACTACACCACTGCGCCATACTGAAATGACATCACCAAGCTGCACAGGATGTCATCTCGTACAGCAAACTGCTCAAGATTTTAAAAATCAATTAAGATTCACGTAAATAAATAGTCATTTTTCCTCACATTAAATACAGATTATTTATCTGCTGCTGCCAGGCACAATCAGTATCTTGTTGGGAAGGCAGAGAAGTTGATAGCTTCATGAGTGATACAGTCAAAAAGGGAACATCTCACTTGCAGCTCTCAACGCTTTTACAGATACAGGTTCGCAAGAGCAGATAAAATACTCTATGCCTTACATGAAACATGGGAAATAAAACTGCTGTTTATTACCAGAATGTAAATAAATGGATAGAGGAATTCTGCTGCTCTAATGCATAAGTGAAGAGTGATGCAGCATTAAGATCAGAAGTAAAACACTTTTTTACATATCCCTTTTTTATTTCACTCCATATTTTCAATGTCTAAATCTTGTGCTAATTGAGTTGGTGCAACTGTACTGTAAAATATTTACAATAGTGTTTCACATGAACTACACAAACATAATTTCTTTATAGTCGTGAAGTACACAAACATAATTTCTTTATAGTCGTGAAGTACACAAACATAATTTCTTTATAGTCGTGAAGTACACAAACATAATTTTTTTATAGTCGTGAAGTACACAAACATAATTTCTTTATAGTCGTGAAGTACACAAACATAATTTCTTTACTTTTATAGTTGTGAAGTACACAAACATAATTTCTTTATAGTCGTGAAGTACACAAACATAATTTCTTTACAGTTGTGAAGTACACAAACATAATTTCTTTATAGTCGTGAAGTACACAAACATAATTTCTTTATAGTCGTGAAGTACACAAACATAATTTCTTTATAGTCGTGAAGTACACAAACATAATTTCTTTACAGTCGTGAAGTACACAAACATAATTTCTTTTATAGTCGTGAAGTACACAAACATAATTTCTTTATAGTCATGAAGTACACAAACATAATTTCTGACACAAACATAATTTCTTTAGTCGGAAGTACACAAACATAATTTCTTTTTACACAAACATAATTTCTTTATAGTCGTGAAGTACACAAACATAATTTCTATATAGTTGTGAAGTACACAAACAAAATTTCTTTATAGTCATGAAGTACACAAACATAATTTCTTTTATAGTAAATAATCTACATGGAATTAAAGAATGAGTTAACGTGTACTCTTACATGACATTTATACATGAGGAGCAACATACTACTTTCCTGACTTAACAAAATTGATAAAATTGATTAAATTTGTAACAAAAATTGTTAAAGTAATTTAAGGTGAATGAACACCATTAACTCTGAAAACATGAACTAAAAAATTAATCAACTCTTCAATTTCAAATAGAGAAGTGTCCCAAGTTTAAGGGAAATAGTATTTACCCCACAGATTGCCTGGTAGTCCCAGGAGAAAGGGCCAGTCCATGATCAAGTGAGCGTGTAGCCTGGAGCTATATGGTATCCTGACATGCTCCTACACAGTGAGAGGGAGAATGGCACCACTGACTAGCATGGGAGGCAGCAGGGCTATGAATGACAGCTTCCTCAACACTGGCCGCAGTGGCAGACAGAGGCCCTCACAGGAACTACCCACGCGACTTGCTGGCAGCACCAGATGGGAGGGAGGCTCAGTCCACTGAAGGGGGCTGGGGATTGAGGGGCCACTGAAGGGGGGTGGGGATTGAGGGGTATGTGGAGTGGACATAACAGTCCACTGAAGGGGGCGGGGGATTGAGAGGGTACATGGAGTGGACATAACAGTCCACTGAAGAGGGTGGGGATTGAGGGTGAGGTGAATGGGGATTGAGGGGTCCACTGAAGGGGTGGGGATTGAGGGGGATTGGGTGGAGTGGACATGGAGTCCACTGAAGGGGGTGGGGATTGAGGGTGTAGGTGGATGTGGACATAACAGTCCACTGAAGGGGGTGGGGATTGAGGGTGTAGGTGGATGTGGACATAACAGTCCACTGAAGGGGGTTGGGACTGAGGGCATAGGTGGATGTGAGCATAACAGTCCACTGAAGGGGGTGGGGATTGAGAGTGAATGGAGTGGACATAACAGTCCACTGAAGGGGTGGGGATTGAGGGGCCACTGGAAGGGGTGGGGACTGAGGCTGTAGATAGATGGATGTGGACATAACAGTCCACTGAAGGGGTGGGGACTGATGGCGTAACATAACAGTCCACTGAAGGGGGTGGGGACTGAGGGCGTAGTATGGATGTGGACATAACAGTCCACTGAAGGGGGGTGGGGACTGAGGGTGTAGGTGGATGTGGACATTGTAATATGATGCATGATGCATATGAATCTCCATGAGAATGGTGTAGATGATGGCTCTTCCTATGGTTTCAAATGAAAGTGATTGATTTTTAATATGTGAATGTCAAGGCTAATTACATGTCATATTTAAATCACTCAAGGCATACACATTAAGATTTAACATGATGAAGGAAATTGTATTACTGTCTCACTGGAAGTGAAGGAGTGCTTGACTTAGAGACTATTGACCACATGTCACTGAGAGAACAAAACTGACACTGAGTCTCACTGCTGGGAGTCCAACAGGTGACAGCAAGTGAAAGCATTATCCGCTGGGCCATAACAGGTGCTTCCGATTGCCAACACCACCGCCTTACCCACTGAAAGCCTCCTTTTTCAAGCAATGGTATTTCTTGAAAGAAAAGGGTAATTCCTCAAAGCAGTTGAGTCATCTACTGTAAAATTCTCACTTGAGTATTTTATGTAGATGTTAGTGTTATACAACACACCAGTGACGTAAAGGGTAAACAAAACTCTATATGCTGGTGTAAAACAATCCGGACAATTAAATGAAATCAGTGACATGTGACATGTGCATGTCTTAAGTGAAATTCTCATACATACAGTAACTGATATTTTAAAGAACAAATAAACTTTTGTTTTTTGTACTCTTTTAACCATTACATATGAAAGACTTGTGGTTAGTCTTAAGCGGAACACCAAATTCATACTTAAAAAACTTGTGGTAAATTAATACCGAGCGATTAAAAGCTGCCAAAAAGTCGTCTGCTTCACTCTCACCCGCCAACGAAACCACAGACAGGTTACGTAACTCTGTCGCCAGAGGCACTGCAGCGAACCGAAAGTGATATTATGTGAGGAAGGATTTTCAGTTAGTTGTATATAAAGTGTGTAATAAGCGTGTCACTTTGCTGATTTCTCGACATTTTCATGGAGTAAAAAAAATCAAAACTACTTACCAGTTGTAGTAAAATATGTATATGATTGATGACCAAAAGGATTTTGCATGACACAACTTGTAAAATAACGATTTCTTCCACTGACGCAGGAGGTGGGGTCGAAGTGACAATATTGACAATTTCTTGCTACATTCACGTGGTTAACGTCCACTCACCACTACGTAAATACTAGTCAATCTTCTTCCTGTAACCGTTAGTTATGTCCATTTTGATATAATCCACATTATTATTATTCTAGTTTTCATGCCACTGAGCATCACAGGACTCAAAACAGAAGGAAAAACTTGCTATGTGTTACCAACCCACCAAAGAAATTTCTCTGACTCATTCTGGCAACATCCCCTCTTTCACTGTATCATTTCTTCATGCTTTCATGTTTACCAAAAACATATGGATCTAGATGCGTCAAATGTCTACACTTATTTAACTACTTTGCACAGAATTTCTGAGAAACCGATTGTCTTGCATCACATTCAATGTCAAAGTAATCATTTATGTGCAAGGTCCACAAATAATTATGCTGTTCATCTTCAGTGTAGTCAAATAGTGAGGAACTTTCCTCCATGTTTCCAAGGGAAAACACTCTTTTCATGATCAATACCATATCTGACACGACTCTCACACAGACCTTCAGACAACTATCCAGAATCACATATACAGTGAGTGAGTGAGTGAGTTTAGTTTTACGCCAAACTCAGCAATATTCCAGCTATATATGGCGGCAGTCTTTAAATTATTTAGTCTATAACAGACAATCCAGTGATCAACGGCATGAGCATTGATCTATGCGATTTGGATACGATGACGTGTCAACCAAGTCAGCGAGCCTCACCACCCGATCCTGTTAGTCGCCTCTTACGACAAGCATGGGTTACTGAAGATCAGTTCTAACTCGGATCTAGATTGTCTGGTCCAGACTCAATTACTTACAGACTGCCGCCATATAGCTGGAATATGTGTAAACTAAACTCACTCACTGTATGTGTGATTCTGGATAGTTATCTGAATTCGAAGGTCTGTGTGAGAGTCGTGTCAGATATGGTATTGATCATGAATAGAACATTTCCCCAACCAGGCAGTAAACACAGGCCTAAATGGGGGAAATTTCCACACTATTTGACTAAACTGAAGATGAACAGCATAACAGATGAACAGATGAACAGAAGACTCTTTCCAGACTCCTTCATATCATTTATTAAAACCTGGGTACGAAATTTAATATGTGAGAGTGCCAATTACATTAAAATCATAAATGTAAAGTTAGTTTAAAGTTTCTGGGTCATGGGGGCCATACTTGGAACTGATTTTCTGTCAAAATGCATTGTGATAATGCATGTCACATGAAGACTGTTAAAAATGCTGTTTACAGTATGATTCACAAATTAAACCTGACAACACAGAAACTGAATATGATGCTACCAGTCTCAATGAAAAGGAGGTAAACTTTGTAAATTGGAATGACTTATTATCAAGCTCATGTCAAAATCACCTTCACTGAGATTAAAGATGGATCAAAAGTATCCTCGTTGGAACACTTAAATTTGTCATGGAACAGGGTGGTGGATCCAGGATTTTGAGTGAGTGAGTGAGTGTGAGTTTAGTTTTACGCTGCACTCAGCAATTTTCCAGCTATATGGCAGCGATCTGTAAATAATCAAGTCTGGATAAGATAATCCAGTGATTAACATCATAAGCATCGATCCACGCATTGGGATATGATGACATGTGTCAACCAAGTCAGCGAGCCTGACCACCCAATCCTGTTAGTCGCCTCTTATGACAAGCATGGGTTACTGAAGTTCAATTCTAACCCGGATCTTCACGGGTCTCCAGGATTTTGAAAAGGATGGGTGAACATAATACCCATATCAAAATAAACATGTAAGATTAAAGTAAAAAATATATATGTAAATTTATTAGGAAAAATATACAAACTTAAAATGCTGACCCAAAATGTGTGTTGTTCCAGGTTCCGTCTATCAACAGAGCCACTTTTCAAAAACTTCTTCAGCTAACTCAATTGACTTGTTACGTAGTTTCCCCAAAGACCTAACGGCCTGACAACTTGTACTAACTGACCAACTGACTGATACTGACAATATGAACATGATTCAATTAATGGCTCGTACTACTGTCACATCTCATTTGTAACAGTATATTGCTGTGTCAGCACAAAAGTACAAACCTTGTAATTATAGCATAAGTAATAAAAACCATCAGAGTAGGGAGCTGACAAAACTCCCAACGGTTTTAACAGGAGAATAACAACTGCATCAGCCCATCATATTTGCAGTTTGCATTCTCGAAGGATGAATGACGCTGTTCCAAACTCCGCAACAATCCATTGGTGCTAAGTGTGGGCTCCTTGCTCCATGACTCCACCTCCCCAGGGCTCCTTTCACCTTGACCATGGCTCCCCAAGGCTCCTGACATCAAGGAGCCATCACACTCCATCACAATTACAATGTAGGATACGGTGCAGGCTGAATTCATCAGCAAAGTGATGATTACTCAGCGACTTTCTTACATCGCTTACTCTTCATATTTTACAGACCACTCAACTTTTGATGGTGTCATTTTTATTTTCCCACGATATACAAAAACTGATGTTCATGATATGTCAAGAGTATATTAACATATATATCTGATTATCCCTATCACAAACTGAGTATTACATTGAAACCTACATATATGGCTGCGGTAACACTTTTGTCGCATTTGACTTTAGAGAAAGTATTGCACAGGTTATAATAACTATCCTCACCATTTTAATTATATGTGTAATATTATTGATACAAATTGCCTAAACTCTTATGATTTTTATTTTTACAAAAGTAATGGTGTGTCCATGCGTGTAGACACAAGGAATCAGTATGGCATTAAAGCCCAGACTTCAGCTTGACGATCAAACAATTTAACCACAAAGCTATGTCATGATTTCATAAACAGGACATCAATTGTTTTCTCTGACAAGACAATACTGGAGTAGATTACCCATGTTTTGTGTGGTATCTGATTGATAATACATGGGCTAATAACAATGGATGAGCAGAGCAAACAATACCAACCTTTGAATGATGTATGCAAACTGATGGAAATGTAAAAATCTCAATTTTTAAAAATGAATTAAAAACATTAATGATTAGGCCAGACCAATTTTAGTTCTTGTTTTACAGATTTTTGTCCTCAGAAAACCTAAAGGCAGGAGGGAAAAATAAAAATAAATAAAATTACCAATCAAAGTAATATTCCTTCTAAATACTAAAAGTATTTTACTTTATGAAAGTCTAATTTATGAAGTGTAAATGGGGCAAAAAACAATCTGAAAAACAATTTCTTGTAAGTTTACATTTTTGGCCAATAAAAACATTAGCATTTTATTTTTTGAGCAGGGAAAATTATTTTTTTTTTTTTTTCTTAATCTTGAAAAAAATATGACAGACGGATCCGTAAAACAAGAAAGAAAATTGGTCTGGCCTGCAACTAAAAATTAGATGCAACCAAATTAATACAATGTGTGCCACACCTTCATCTTTGTTAATAAGCCCAGTAACACCCTAGTTGATATGCCCTGTAACACCCTAGTTGATAAGCCCTGTAACACCCTAGTTGATATGCCCTGTAACACCCTAGTTGATATGCCCTGTAACATCCTAGTTGATATGCCCTGTAACACCCTAGTTGATATGCCCGGGTGTATGGCTGACATTTAGTGTACGATATCGTTTTCTTACTGGTCACCAGAAAAAAGTTGCTGAAAGTGTAACCCATAGATAAGCCAACCCCCTTCTACAGGCTGCTTTATTTGGTCTTCAAAATTATCTTATCTACCGCAATATACAGTATGTGCTATCTAACTTCCAAGATGATTTATCAACCTAGTTAGTATTTATCAATTATCAACCATTTATATGTCAAACGGTACTGAAATCGCTGAATAATTGTTTGATTACAAAATATAAAAACAACAACTAAATTTCGATCTAGGTTTTCAATATCAGTTTATGACAGCGACATGTGCAGCCATATTGTTTGCATTGT